AGTTCCTTTTTTTATCCATTTCAAGATTTCAGTCTTCTGCTTTTTAAACTTTTTAGTATGACTATAACTGCTTTTAGATGGCTGAAATTTAATTCTTACGTGAATTTCAGCTTCCCCCAACAGTATCATTTGGTAAAATATCATTATCATTATCATTATTTAAAACATTGCCATTCGTTTCTTTTTCGTCACTATCTTCAACAAGATAAAAGTGTAAAATAACCCTTTATTTAATATTTGTTATTATTTTCATGAGAAAAGAAACATTCCTTGTAGTTTCTGCAATTTCTGGGGGAACAACATCAGTTTCATTCTGATCATTATTCACATTATCATCATCTGGTTCTTCATCAAAAAAACTTTGAAGGGCTTCGCCTAATGTAAGATTCCTCATTCTAGGCATTTTTAAACAACCAAAACATTGAAAGGAATGAGTGAAAAAGGAGATTGAGTGTCAGCGCAACACCTGTTTTTCCTTGCTTCCCAACACAAATATAAACATCTGGCTGATGTAATGGTCTGATAAATGGTGACCTTGACTAAAAATAGATCACTCATAAAGATTCTTTCGTTACATATTTTCAGCAAAAATACCCGGTCGAAAATTTTGCTTAAAGTATGAGATATTATTAAACAAAATTATTGTTGAATGCATATATTTTTTTACAGAAATAATCTTCATAATATTCCCTACACAAAATCATCTGCTGGTATAAAATAGCTTAGGTAGTTATATTTATATACGCATTTACTTTGACCGCTGCGTCAACGCAACACCAGCGACTAATAGGTTAACTGGGAATCAAATTTAAAGCAAACTGGAGGAGATGTAATCGAGTTAAAATGCGCTTATCAAATGATAGAGGAATAAAGCACCTCCTCAAGTTTCTTGGTCAACAGAATCTAGCATTTATTCTGCCCCACTTATTGATCGATTATTAATACTAAGTGTAGATATTATAATTTTGCTTAAAGTATGAGATTCTCATAATTTTGATAAATTTGATAATTTTAAAGCCCACTAAATTACATATTAAAGAGCATAATTTTTAAAAAATTATCTATAATAATATGAGGAAAAACTAGCAATTTGAAGCATTACTTTTAAGAGTGTAAATATAAAATTTATATTTCATGTACTTTTACTAAAAGATGAGATATGATCAAAACCCTTGAACTCTTAAACATAGTTTATGTTGTTAAATACTTAGTTTGAAACTATGCACTTATATATAGATATCCAGAGCATAAGATTTTTGTTTTTCTGGAAAAAAGTGAAGAATCAATCCAAATATAATCAAGTTCCTTAAAAAGCAAGTTTAAGCAATTTGATTTAGTATTAATTTCCAATAGTTTCAATATTCACTTTGATTTACATTTTAATTTCTAGTTCCATCATGAATAGTTGAACTTCATCAAAAATTTTGACTGTTTTGGAGTTTGGTTCAAGTTATCATGTTTTGTAGTACATTCATAGCATGGCAATTAAATAATCAGAGTGCTTTAAAAAAATAGGAAAGTGGCAGAGTTTACATTGATGCAACTTCCAGTCTTAGTTCAAATAAGAGAAGGCTTGTAGATGACTACGTTCAGCGCAGCTGTAAGAGTAGAATGTCTGCATTTCTTTTATCTCTTCCATGTCAGATAAAAAAATTCATTTGAAAGCACACTTCAGTGTTTAGGAAGCAAAAATAATCTGAATGAGACAAATCTGTAGAACACACAAGATGACTAAGTACACATACTTATTTTTATGACAAGGCAGCTCGGTAAAGTGGTTATTGGTCTGTGGGAAAATGTGCTCTCATGCAACAGAACCAATTCTGACTAAATAACACAAGATTAAAAAGTGCCTGCTTAATTTTCAGCTTTTAAAATCCACTACTCAGCCTAATATTCAAAACTTCAGCATTGTTTTGACTGTTCAGCTTCTAAGAAAAATCTAATGTCACTTTGTCTAAACACTTGTATAATCTTTCCAGGGTGAATAATACAGGGAGATAATCGTCACGCCCTAGCTTAGATTCCAAGAATATGAATAGAATAATACCAAATATAACTCAACGTTCATTAGCAATATGGCTTAGTAATTTAAAAACTTTAGCTTAGTAATTTAAATCCTTTAGCAACAGACTGCAGAATATTGGCAGTTTGTCCTTAAGTCCAACCCAGATCTTTTCATGATTTTCCCTATGTGTAAACTGAATGTAAGCCACTTTTCTGTAGAAATGTCCTCCATGAAGAAATTCCTTCCATTAGGCAGATAGCTTCCATGTTCTTTGTCATACAGATATTTAAATAACCAATCAACCTAATTAATATGCGATTTCTAAACTAAGAAACCTGAAAACTCACCCAAAACCATAGTTATTCATTCAGGAGGAATATTATGGATATAGCATCAATGACTGAATTGTCACTACTCTTTTTCTGAACTTAAGATTCTTATTTGTTAGCCCCTTACTCGTCACGCCTGTCTCTCATACGGGCAACCAATACGAACAAATTTTGTTGCGCCTGTATCTCAAAGTGCTGAATAAATTTTGTTGCGGGCTTTGCATTTGTAACAAAAGGTTAAGGGAATACCAATTTTTATCACATCACTATCAATTCTATTTACACAGACAGCTTACAGATTGTAGCACAGTACTTGTAAGTTGATTAGATAACAGTAGTATGTAGATTCAGAATATTCTTTCGGTTAGAACATATTTCGAAAGGATGTAGTTTCAGTGTTCTTCGCTTTTTTGTGTTTAATGTTTGTAAAATGAGTTGTTCAGGTGAACAAGAGGATTTAAGTCTTGAAGAATCGGGGAGTGATTCAGAAGGCAGCTCTTTTCAGATGCTTTTGATTCTCAAGTATCAGGTTCTTAAGGCAGTGACAATAGTGACGATCCTGCACAACTTTTACTAGGTCACCAATGAAACCAAATTATGCTGGATGTCCCAGAGATTTGTGCTCCATGTTTTCAGTTCAAATTATAGCCTAAAGTTAATATTTCATTTCAAGCCAGTACAGGCATTTTACAATTTTATGAGCATTTTATAAATGATAAAATGGTATAATTTGTTGGGAAAAGGAAACTGAAAGGTAGTAGAGAATGGAAATGCATTTGTTCTTTGTGCTTTCAGTTTTACAAGGTATTACAAAAAAAACCTGAAGAAAGTGTGTATTTAACTAAGAAAATACAATAGAAATGCCTTTTTTCTGTAAGATTATGTCATATAATTGATACTGTGAAATAAAAAAATACTTGCATTTTAGGAATAATGATTCTTATGATCAAGAAAATCATCCTAACCCAAAACGCTACAAAATTTGGCCTATCTGTGAGCATCTGAATAAAGTATATCAAAAAACAATTATTCTAGAAAGAGATATTACCATTCATGAAACGTTGATGTTGTACAAAGGACGTTTATCCTGGCACCACTACATACACTTGAAAAAAGCAAAATTTGCTATCATACAGGCTAAGTGAATTTAGTTCTGATTATATATGATCATTTATTATATATACCGGGAAAGGTACTTTGTTTCATCCTCAATTCTGATCTCTCTCGGTAACTTCACAAGTTGTTATGACTCTGATGATACCATTATTGAAACAAGTTTACAGCATTACAATTAGATAATTATCATACTTCACCAGAATTATGTGATATCCTTTTGACTTATCAAACAGACGTGGTCGGAACTGTTAGACACAACAAAAAGAATTTAACTTCAGCACTGAAAAATTAGAAATTAAAAATTCACAAAGTTATATCAGACATGGCAAAATCCTTGCTCTCAAATGGAAGGACAAGAAGGAAATGATTCTGAAACTGTTGAAGTAATGACCCAAAGTAAAAATGAAAACAAAACCAAATACAGTAATCGACTACAATAATACAATGGGCAGTGTGGATCTTATAGATCAATACCTTTCTAGTTATCAAGTAGCAAGAAACTAACCACCTAATAACACCTAAATAACAACAACCACCGTATAGTTATCCCATATCCTTCTTAGTCACAAAATTGCTCAGATTTTAAAGAACTTAACTCTCAGTTCATTTTTCAGTTCACTCAGCTTCAGGTCATTAGCAAAATACTATGTCTGTTTCTGAAAGATCTCATCTGGGTTCATTTCTTGGGGAATTTATTGCACATCTTGTCATTTTGGTACACATATAAAAGGCAAACTAAAAGTTAAATTTCACATGAAAAAACACAGTCCTATTATTCAAAAAGGGGAAATAAATAATCATTGACAGCTAACTATAATAAAGTACTTAATCACAACTTAGCCCACTGAAAATAACCTACAACAAAGCTTCACTTAGTTTGTCAAATAGATTTCTTTGATGCCTTTTACATTTACAAAATGTATTTTCTTTAATTAACTGCATTGATTTCAAGCCTTTTCTTCTCAATGTTTTCAAATTCTAATATTTAACTTGTTCATGTTTCATTATTATTTTCTTCGACAGATGGCACAATGTTGATCTTCACTTTTCTCCAGCCACTGATTTCCATATAATTATGGTGTTTACTCCTCCCACCTCAGCCAAAACAGTTTGCTTCTGAAGAAGATTAACCTACATCTGAATTGCGCTTGAAATTAATAGTTTTATTCAAACTCATTATTTGTATAATTTGTCTTGTATTAAATTTTACATTGGTGTGTTTCTCTTTGAGTTAAGATTCAGAAAGCTATAGATATCAACCAATGAAATACTACCCAAATGATAAAACATTCAAACATACAAACATTCCATTGTAAAAGCTGAAACTGGCTGTTATCATCACTCTAGCATTAACTTTCTAAGAGGGCAACAGTCATACCATGCTGAAAGTGCTAATTATTCTGAAAGAGAAATAGTTACTTTTACCTTACCAACTTAACTTATTAACATGTCCTTCATTTAGTACATTATTTAATCCTTCATTTTTACATGAAATATCAATAAAAATTATATGAGACTTATCAGGGAATGAAGCATTTAAAATATACCTTTAACATACTGATCTTCATACTTTGCTTTCGAAACTCTCCACAGTTCTAAATATTTTTCATACAGGTTCCTAGTTTTGTTCACAGCATCTTGAAGCTAAGATAACACAACATTACTTGATACATATAATTAAAATAAAAATGAAATCATTAAAAAATATTAATGTCATATACTTATTAATGTGATAACCATACACGCAATAGTTCACCATGAATTCTGTTGTGTTCATCTGTATAAAGTTTACGCAGAGCTCTCTTTTCTAATATTAAGGCATTCATGTCATCGATAGTATGAGATGCAAGGTAATCAGCATTTTGTTTAACAACTCGACCCATAGCTTCAGTCTCTTCCGCAATTACACTCCATGCCTAAAAATGAGAAAATTATACACACCCTATACTTTTCGCTTACAGGTTCATACAAGTTTATTAACAAGTCAAAATACAATTGTTTTTAGGTCCACAATAAGGTTCTGCATAATGTGGTATTTTATCTACCTGACATTACAATATGGTCAATGTATTAACTACATAACCTTCACATACATTTATTATTTGTTACATTTAATTTCCTCTCACACAATTCTCTCACTCTGAACATTTGGAAACTAAATAGCGTACAAAGTCTGAGATCTGGACTCATTGGGACTTCAGCGATTCCGGTTTTGGGATTTTTATAAATACAGTACAAAGTCTTTAATTCGGACATCCATAATCCAGACCTCAAAGCTACAAACTTTCTGTGCATAATACCTTTACACATGCACATAATACATTTACGCATGCACGTTTAATGTATAACGGACGGTATAAGCTAGGCTAAAATTATCTAATTATCTATTTCAGTTAATGTTGCAGATTGCGTTGTTTCTTAATCTTCTAATTGGATCCGGTTTATTATTTTTTGCAGACTGATAGAGCAATTTTATAAAAAGTAAGCTTGAACTTTTGATTATGTCAAAAAGAGTTTCCGATTCTGGAGCTGCCAAAGGATCTATAAAGCAAAAGCATGTTTCGATGTCCATCCCACAAAAAGTGGAATTGCTGCAAAAAATGGATAAAGGCATGAAGAAAGTGACAGAGAGGTTAGTGAAAATGAAAAAAATTTGATTGACAAGTTAGTCGGTATTCTCGGCACAACAATTACAGGACTTGAACAGTGGAACTTTGGAACTGAACAAGAAATGATTCTGTTTATAGAATTAAAGAGAAAGTATTAGCACATATAATGAAGCAACTTAAACAACTTACATTGAAAAAAATGTTTAATAAAGTAAACAAATAAATATTAAGCTTTTTTTTTATAAATTTTGATACCCTTTAGATCATAACTGCTCTTTATTTCATAAATTACGGTTTAATATTTTTAATTTTATAATTTCTGCATGCCATCTTACCAGATTTAAATTAGTGATTAAAGACTGGATTAAAGACTTTGTACAGGAGATCATCAGTTTAAAACTTGTAAGATGGTATGTAGAAATTATAAAATTAAAAGTATTAAATCATGATTTATGAAATAATGAAGCATTTATGATCTAAACAGTAACACAATTTACAAAAAAAAAAAAAAAAAAAATATTGCTTTTTTTGTGCTGATATTTTCTCTTTAATTTTGTTAGACAGACATAATTTCTTATTCAGTTACAAAGTTCCATTGTTCAAGTCTTGTTATATCTGTTGAGAATTCCAACTAACTTGTCAAACAAAATGTTATAGTTTTAAATAACTTCTTTGTCACTTTCTTCACTATTTGTAGCAGTATTTTCAGGATCTACAACCATACCATGGATTTTGCCACCCATTAATTTAGTGATAATTGGGGCATTGTCATTGAAATGAAAAACTTCTGTCATATCATCTTCATTTATTACAGCTTCTCTACATTTCTTTAAAAAAATTATTAATTGGAAAATTTAATGTTTGGCCAATGATATCCGAAAACCTCCCCATTCGTGGCTATTATTTTCATCCTCCTAGCCATGAAATATGCTAGCTAACCATAAATTATACCAAGCATTTTTTAAAGTATCTGGAGACGCACCCTTTCACGATCTTGCGATACTCCACATAGCAGATTTTAAGCTAAAATATTTCAAAAATTCTTTAATAGGCTTGCCATCATTCAAGAAATTTAAACACAGATTTTTAAAATGCTACTTTATATTTGCATTTCAGCGCGTGCACTACTCCGATATCCATAGACTGAATGATGGACATACAGTTTGGAAGAAAGAATAATACGGACACATTATCTTTCACTTAAAACTTTAAGTATGAGCCAAACAGTCGTCTACAGTCAGGACAGTTTTTGTGTCATCATGTAAACCAACTGAATTCAAATGTTGCCAAGCCTCTGGTATGAAATGATTTCCGAACCAATCATTCAGCATAAACATTAACAATCATTAACAATTGTGCCATCCATGCTCTTTTATTTGCATGACATATAACAGGGAAAATCTTTACTCCTTTAAATGCTTGAGGTCGTGTATTTTTTTCCGATTATGAAGGGTTTACACTTACGTGTTCCTGCAGCCATTTGTGCATGCTGAAATTGTTAGTGTCACTTTGGAATCTTTGGCATGAGTTGGAGCCTTTCCTATAGAGGTTGCCAAGGTATTCTGCAGAACACATTGCCAGAAAAGACCAGTTTCATCAGCATTGTCAATTTGTTATGGAGATAATTTTTAACTATTAATGAGTTCAATGAATTCGACTAAAAATAATTCAGCAGCAAGTATCAGCTGAAGCTTTTACACCTGAAATTCTTAAATGCCTTATACCATGGTGATTTTTAAATTTGGTTAACTAACCTGTTGAATATGTGCACTCTGTTTATAAGTTCATTTCTTAGTGAAATATTTTAGCTAGAGCCATTAGCATTTGACCCGTCAATGGCACACGCTCACTCGGATGCTTCTGACACATTCAGTCATCATTTTGTCATGATCTTCATGTTTAGCATAATGAATAATTTTTCTGTTATTCATTTCGAGTGTGGTGATGGAATCTAGAAAAAAATTCAAAAAGTTGCCTTCTCTGTTTTCTTATGTCATATACAGTTGACTTTCCAATGCTACACTCCTCGCATAATTCAGAGTCGGGTATATCTTTACTCATTTTTTGCAGCAATTCCACTTTTTGTTTAATGGACATCGAAATATGCTTTCGCTTTGTAGATCAGGTTGCAGCTCCAGAATTAGAAACTCTTTTCAACACAATCCAAAGCTGAACTTTAATTTTCATAAAATTGCTATAATAAAAACAGCCTGCCAAAAATAATTAAGCGGGATCAAATCAGAAAGTTAAGGAATAGTGCAATCTGCTATATTGACTGAAATTCCTTGGAATCAGTAACGCATAATTTTAGCCTAGCATAATAGCATCCACTAAATTTTGCCTTGCTTCTATCATGCACCGAGACCTGATTGTATTAGTTATCTATTATACTTACATCTATTTCTTGCACATGCTTAAGACTTATCTTAGTCTTGAATGAATAAATACATTCCCACATATACTTAAGGCTTCTCGAGGGCTGGCACTAGATACCTTACCACCTGATGCAGTCTCTGTGGGTCCTAAATTCTGTCACCAAGTGCCTAAGTTCTAAATTTTGGATCCCAGTGCTTCCAAAATTCCAAAAAATATTTTCATCCCTTAATTTTTTTGCTTGGTGCTTCTCTATACTCCATAAATCTTGTTTTGCCTAAATTCTGCCACACGGTGCAGCCATATGAGTTCTGGTGCCGGTTCTGGGTTTACGTGAAAAACAAATCAGTTATTCTTAATTCAAATAGTACTAAATGTAATCTATCTTTTGGCCTATGAGTATCATTAACAAAATCTATTTTCAGCATATGGAAAGAAATTTTTGTTAAATTTTTTCTCATCAATATTTTGTAGTGCATTTAGCTTAAATCTGTAATCATTGCCAAGTATAATGTCAACACAAAAGGTTATCATACTCTTCATTATTAAAGTATAAATATAAAATTTTTTTGGTTATCACTGCATGAGTCATTACTCAAGTTGTCATGTGTTGATAAACATGGAGTGATGAAAGCAAAACATAATAAATAATGATTTGCCAGGTTGGCATCAGGGATATAAAATATTAGTAGGTGTAAAATCAACGTTTTTATCTAGAATGTTTCAGTTTGAGATGTATGCCAAGCAGATATGCAGCTACACAGCCAAATTATTGATCACACAAATTTATGCTAAATTATTGTCGCTTCAATAATGGAGGCATTTATTTAGCGCTGAAGGAAAATTAAGAATCCAACTCTCCACATGTTTTATTTATGTGGGAAAAATCAAATGTGCATGTGCAAAGCATTAAGAAAAAGTTGTTGGTGGTTTTGAAGTCCAGATTTTAGATCATTCCAGATATTGGACATCTGAATCTCAGACTTTGTACAGTACAATCTATAGTTTTCCCAATTTTTTTTAAAATTAAAATTCATTATATTTTAAGAAAGAAATAAAAACCATGCCACACTTCCACTGAAAACATTATTAATGGAACTGAGCACATTTCCCATTCTTCTCATTGTTATATAGATCCATTAAAAAATATGGTAAGCATGGAAGTAAAATATATTCTTAACATGGCTTCCACTCGAAGAAGTCCTTTTTTCTTTGCTGCTGATGGTAGAGCAAGCTGGACTTATTGCTGAGTAATCGACTCTGACCTTCTTTCTTAATGATGTAACACACAGAAGATAATGAACTGTAACTTTCTTTATTCTGTGTAAATACCAATATGAAAATAAACCTTCATTTTGTATTCATACAAAGAGTATACATATTAAGAGGCCTGGATTATTTCTGTACTCTTATGTCTTCACATGAAGGTCTAGTTCAGGGAATAATAAAATAACAATACATGTGATATAATGAAACTTACATAAACATGAAACTATATATCTTCAACATACCAATTAGTCTCTCTCACCCCCTACCCAAAACGTTAAGTGCTAAAATAAAGAATAAATCACATTTTGTTCATATGCTGGTCAGCCAAAGCATTAATGACCACTCTTCTAACAAAATGTTGCTCTTTATGTAGCATGCATAATAGTTGAACAGCCTGTCATGACATGAAGAAACGTATAAAAAGCCTGTCATAGTATGGAGGAACATGAATTGATCGTGCCCATCAAGTGTCACACACCTGGAAATAGCAATACATATATTCAGGTACAACTACAGGTATAAGTGAGGCAAGACATCTGAAATTCATCATACAAGTGTTGAGCTCCATGCCAATTTTGATGGAGAACATTGTAAGGGATGTTCCAAGGGTCTCCCACCCTTTTCCCCTACCACCAAACCACACAACAGGACTTTTGGCTTGATGTGTACTTTGGGTGTCTCCATAACACACAGATATTACACATTTACAAACCGCCATGCCTCGTCTAGGATTCAAATCCAAGCCTAATGATACAGCAGCAAGGAGTACTCCCTTGCCAATCAGAATGGCCCTTACCACATTCAGTAGTTCATACACGATGGAACCTACGCACATACTGCATGTTGTTTTTGAATTCCTGTTTGAGATCTTAGTGTACATGTAGTGACACATAAAGTTCCTAAATGTTATAGAGGTGGGAGACGCTGATCCCCCCCATATAGCCCAGATATTAATTCATGCATTTTCTTTTCACAGGATGTTTTGAAATGTAAGTTATTCACAAGGAAGCCTGTAAATGCATCAAAATTCAAGGTTTGTGTCACACAGTGCAGTTTTGGAAGACTGCCAGAGAGTTGAGAAAAAGGCAAAGTGTGCTTGCAAGAAACTGTGAAACAAAATGGTGGGCTCAATGAACATTTGCTGCCCTTAACTTACTTTTGGGCAGTTAGCAAGGCATTCATTTTGTAATATTTTAATGTAAATAAATGTGTAATAAACAAAGCAAAGAGTATGTCATTTCATGTGCCATTCTGTATATGCAAAGATATGAAATACTTAACCAATTCATTTTTATCACTTTTGTGCCTATTTAAGGCTTGCAAATGCAAACCGTTTAAGATGCATAAAACAAAACTTTAGGATATTTTTATTTTTCCAAAACTGTTTTCTTACACATGTGGATAAGAGTTTTTTATGTACATTACTTACATATTGCAAGTTCAAAAATTTTATGCCCTTTTTAAATGCATGGCTACATTTTTTGCTTTTAAAGAATTTTACATAAAGCAGCTTTAAAATGTAAACAAATAATTTTAGAAAAAAAAATTTTGAATAGAAAGGGAATGTTGAAAATTACATAAAGTTTTCATTCAATAATTCGTACGTACATTTTACTACACATAGATCACAAAAACCCAGAAACATATTATAAAAGAAACTTACTCGAGCTACCATACTTCCCTTCAACTCTGTTTGGTCAATTTTCAATGTTTGAATGCAAACAGAATTTAGAGCAATAGCATACTCCCTATCACATTTTACCCTTAAGGACATACATCGCTTCATATTCTCTAGAAGCCTCAATTCAGCATCTTGTAAAGACATCAGAGCTTCATGTGATGATTTTCCTTGCAGGTCAGTGGCAAATCCCATGTTTCATAGAACTACGAATAAAATGAAAACATTAACATTTTTCTTTATATACAAGCATATTTAGCTTCTTACACAAATATATGTAAAATTTTACAATTTTAATTTATCACTATGCATATGAAGTTATGATACACATGCATGATACAAAAATATCAATAACCAAAATAAATATCAATACACATGGGTGGCAATATCCCTACATGCAGTTTTCATCTTATCATTTCTGCATAAGTTTTATACTATTGCATCCCTTTTGGTCAGGGACAGGGAAAAGTGGACAGAGCACCAGAACTTCATCAGTGACTTTTACAGGTATTGTCAAAGGCCGCACTACTGTACTCGTTGGGCGTTTGGTTGGCCTTCATCAGATGCCAGCCTAACAGGGCATTTACATAGAAACTTTACATTAATTCTAGACTTATGTATGGCATATACAATTATTACAAAGAAATTAATGGATTAACAAAAGTTGGATTATGGGAGAATAATATAATTACTTCAAATATACATAATACAAACATTCATTGTACATTGTACTTCATACAAACAACCCATTTACTTTAGTATATCGAATTACATTACACATTTTTTTTCGTGCATCTCCTAGTACATTGTCGTATTCCTAAGGCAAATATCTTGTTGACACATTTCCTTTAATTTTTTTTCATGTTACAGACAATTGCAACATTATTGAAGTCTTACATTATTTTTGTAAATTAATGTATCATAATTACAGAAAATATACATTTGAAAAATTTACATAATGCTTACATTTACATTAATATGTCTAATTATGTCACATATTAATTTTTTTAATTAATGATTTAATTATTACAAGATTTTTCCCCCTCATCTCCTAATACAGTACAAATTCTTAATGTAATTATTTTGTAAAAACAATTAATACCATATTTAGCCTGTTTCAGGCATTTGCAATATTTCTAAAAGTTATGGAATAAGTGGTATTTGTACAGACGCGATAGCATCTTGACATGTCTTCTCTTTTATATGAGAAAAGTTTCATAATCAAGGAAATATTTTGTTGTAACTGAGGGATCGTTAGTAAGCACTTAATGTTCTCAGGTGAAATTTGTGACCTTTCTTTACAGTGTAGCTCTTTTGTGAACTGGAACTTGAAGAAACAATGCAATGGCTCTCCTTTTTCCCCACATACACACTTGTCTGAGTCGCTCAGATTTCATGTAAAGTAGTACGTGGGGATAGGACCAGATAAAAAGATATTGATAAAGAAGTTATATGAGATTGGATCATATGTGGGTTTTTTTTGTAGAAGTTAAAAAGCCTTCTGCCTTTTCCCATTCAGCTCGCCATTTCTTAATGTAGTTTTTTCAACATATGTTTCGCATACAATTTTGAGAATGGGACGTTGATTGAAGGTAGAGATGGGTCTTGAGCTGCATTCTTAGCAAACGCATCTGCCCTTTCATTCTGGGCTTGTCCTGCATGCGCTTTTACCTACTTTATTTTTATAGACGTCCTTTTGTGCTGTGACATTAAATCGTAGATATCTTGTACTATTGATGATTTGACTGCATCAACAGTCTCTCAGCTATTACTGCAGATGGTAACTTATGTTAAATGCCTTTGATGAGCCCACAGAATAACATGTTTTATGGCTGAAAGCTCAGCTTGGGAAAACGCTGTTGTTTCTTAGGGGTCCCTTCCATTTTGTTATTTCTTGTTCTGAGAGGAGTGCTAAGAACGCACATACTACTTCTTCATTTATCTTTGACCCATCTGTGTACACAACTGAAAATATAGGTACACTGAGGGTTTCTTCTTTTGTGGATATTCTGAGTTTTACTTGCACTGCAGGGTGTCTTAGGTAAGGATTTCAAGGCTGTTCGAAATCAAGAGGCATAGGTCTTGATCTTCTACCTCTATGTTTTCTTGTGGTGGAATAATGTGGCTAAGTCTGCATCTTCTTTTGCTTTCAGATTGAGGGGTGGGATGCTTTTTAATACACAGAGTGCTGCCAGAGGGAGTTTTGTATGCTTTTGCTATTTGTAAGAGGAAGGGGCACTGAATCGAAGCTAAAGAGTCTTTTCTTTCTCACTGTCATGGGGTGAGCCCATGCTGTTGCCCTGCAGAGGATTACTTTTTCCATCACAGTTTTATAAAGAATGTTTTGCATCCTCGACTTGAGGCCCCACGTTGTGCCTTGCATCCTTGCAAGGGCACTAGAAACAGTCTGGGTCTTCTTCCGAATGTCCATGAGGTGTGGGATCCAAGAAAACTTTTGGCCCATTTTCAATCCAAGAAATTTTATATCTTTTGAGATCTTGATTCTTCTATTAGTGATTTTAATGCAAGGTAGGCTTTGTAGCAATTTGCCCGGCTTTAGAAGTACATAATATGTGATTTGGTCTCTGAAATTATTAGTTTTTGATTGACGCAGAGAGAATGGAAAATGGAGAGAGTCTCATTAGTATTCTTTTCTAGTATGTCTCTTGAATGCCCATTTGTTATAAATGCCACATCGTCAGCAAAGGTGATGAGATTTGTATGGTCCGGCTACTTGTTAGAAGGTGACATAACTGAAGGTGATGTTCCACAGGTCTGCACTTAGCTAAGAGTTCTGTGGACACCCCCTTGTTATTCTTCTTTCTATTATGCGGTTGTTGCTGATGATTATTGTTGCTCTATTTGTTAGGAAACTATTCATTAGCTTGAATATGTTCTAAGGGCATTTAATGTTGCACAAGGCTTCAAGGATACCAGGCCACCATACGGAGTCAAACGCATTTTTGGGATCCACACAAAGTACTGCTGTATGGAGAACGGTAGATTTATTCCTATGGATCTACTCTTGAAGTTTTGCTATCGCATGTGATATAGATTTGAGAGGTCCGAATCCATATTGGTTGAGGCTTATGGTACCGTTTTTCTATAAGTGGTGGTGTATTCTGCCCACAATTGCACGTTCCAGAAGTTTACCTATTGCAGGTAAGAGGTTAATTGGTCTGAAGGCTTCCGGATCCGTTGGATCTTTATTATTTTTCTTGAACAGTACTGTTTGTCCCTCTTTGAGACAATTCGGGAAGACATAAAATTTGATGCAAAGGTTTAGTAGTTTGTGGAACAGAAAAGGCATTGTGTGGTGAATTATCTTAATAATTCCATTGTCTAATCCATCAGGTCCCCGGAGCTTTATTATTCAGAAGATATTTAATAAATTTTGAAATTTCTTGTAAGTGGAATTCCACATCGTCTGCAGAGTTTATCTACGTACTTTTTTATTCTTAATCAGATGGAAGAAAGTAATTGGGCTGACCATATAGTTAATCTTGGGTTTTCAGCTTTCAGTTTGCATCAAGAAGAAAGCAATGTACAGCAATCTGGATTCTGTACTTAGAATGCATATCAGGAGCCACAATCCATTAACCTTGTGGGTCTACCTCCTCCCCCCCCATTTCTTTAGCACCTCAAGTTCTCCTCACGCATGCACAATAAGAATTTCATCTCTGCGTGACTGCAAAAAAGAGGACTTTTGTTTTCTGTTTTTTACGAGTCCATGCACACACTATAGCCATCACTGAGATTTATGTTATCCTAACACTATGTATATATTTTGATTTATTAAAAGAGTTTATTTTTCTAAATATGTGTCTAGCCATTAATTAGACCCCAAAACCTTTTCTGTACGGATGTATCATATATGCCACGGTAGCATCTGGTTCATCAATGGCATGTGTAACATCTGCATCTCAGAAGTTTATGCTTCTTTTGAGTGGCCTTTTTGAGGGAAGAGTATCTTGCATTAGTGCAGTTTTTATTGTTTCTTCTTTTCGTATGTAGAGTACAGTGTTCTTTTGTTTGAGTGAAGTCCCCCCCCCAATTAAGATTGCAAAACAAAAGCAATATTTAGATATATAAGTAAGCTGAGTATACAGCTTTACTAGAAGATCTGAGAGTAGCAGTGCTTTTAACAGTGAATTATCCAATTCTGATACAGATATTTAATCAGATTCAGAACTGCAACCCTTTTACCTCAATATCTGCTCCATCTGTAAATGATAACTGGTCTCATACATTAAGAGATTTACAGCCATATGCTCACATTGGGACACATGGTATAAATTAACAATGCAAAAGATGGTGAGTACGATAAAGATTTTTTCCACATATTTTTTGATAATGACTTTATAAATTTAATTATGGAAAAAACAAATAATTTTGCAGCAAGCTCCAAACCTCAGTTTGTCATCTTGACATTTTCCTGGTCCTTCTCATTTCAGTCCCGTGTCACATGAAGAAATGAACATTTTTTTAGCATTAAATATGCTAATAGGTATAACAAAAAACCAGATCTAAAACTGTACTTTACTACAAATTAGATAAGCGGTACTCCAATTTTAACAAAATGATGTTAAGAGACAGATTTTTCAAGATATTGCAATATCTTCACTTTACACCAGACATTAGTACTAAAAAAATTGGATTGACAGAAACCAATTATTGATCTGCTTGTATAAACATTTTAAAAGTGTACAAACCAAAAAGGAATGTGTCTGTTGATAAATCTTGTTTATGTGGAATGGCAGGCTGTTTTTACACAATAAGTTAGTTCTATTCTGCTAAAAAAATTTCTCAACAAAATCCATACTTGCCAACCTAAAACACTCAAAAAGGAGGAGAATTTTTTTAGAAATCAGGAGATTTATTTTTTCACCGACAAAAAGATTTTTAAATGATAAAAATACACTTTTTAATAATTAATATCTAAACGTTCAGTCACTAATTCTTAAATACAAACAGAACATTCTGCATTAACAACCTTTTGGTCCTTTGTTTCCACAGAAAAAAATTTCGTTTTCTTCAAGAGAACTCATGTTGTCCCTGTGTTTTTTGTGTAAGAACATGTTTGAGAACATCGTCACCCTCCACTGTGCGAAATCGAAAAATCGCAGTGAAAAACACTACACATCGCAAATGCCTTTCCTTGAGGAAATATTAGAAAGAAAGCCCTCTGTGCAAGATTCTTGAAATG